ATCTACCATCTAGTTGAGCTCTTCAAATTTTTTTTCTTAAAATAAAGACCTATATCAAAAATAATAAACCAATGACCGTGCCTACTACCTCAAGACCAAGAAGTCCTATATGTAAAGCTTCAGCGAATGACCGCGCCAAAAGTGTAAGTTTATCCCTACTTTAAGAATTCATCCCCTAGATGTAGAATAGTGGTTCGTTTAATTATGTTATGAATAACTACTTCTCTCTTTCTTGTCAGACCTTTCGACCTATAATGAAAAAGAAAAATGTTAGGGAGAGTATCAGAAAGAGGAAAAATGAAGAGAGCTTAACAATAAAAATATAAAAAACCATCAATGACAACGATAGGCGAAAGATAAATAAATAAAATGTGATCATTACTTCCTCGGCGAAGGGCGCGTGAAAGAGACCAACTCCTCGAAGAAAAATTCATTTTAGTAGCCACATCTATTTTAGAGGAGGATAAGCAAATCCTACAATGAATACCACAGAAAAATGCTTCTCTCTTTTAAGCTCAAACCTTGTACCACATCATTTAGACAAGAGCAGTATTAAGGAAGGTGGCATCGTTAAAGGAAAAAATTGAAAAGATACTTCCCGTAAAGAATAATAATACAGGTCGCCATCAAGTACCTAAAATAAGAGAAGATTTTTTTATTGATTAGAGAAGCTCCGAAACTCTAAGTAATTCAGTGACGCATATGTTCTAAACAAGTTCATGAGACTATACTCTAAGGTAACCTGATTACACATGGGTATCAATCAAAGGATGTCTAGAAAACCCTTGAATAATTAACGCATTAGGTGTAAGTATGGGTATGAAACTTACCTCTATGATATAAGTTTGAGCTAACGCGTAAATAATATTTTGTAAATACCGTTGTTATCGTCGTGGTTAGAAAAGCGTTTATAGTATTTAACTATGAAAAAAATATTTGCAAAAAATATTATTTTTTGTCCAAAGTGTAAACAATAGTTATGTTGGTGTTGTGTTAAAAAAAAAGAGTTGGAAGAGAGAGGAGAGTCTTTTCATTTACGTGTAATTTTATTTTATTTAGGACATGCTGGTAATACATTTCCTTATTTGAATGTGACACAATTACCGCGAGTAGTTTATCTCTTTCACGTGATTATTAACGCGTAAAATATTTCTGCTAAGTGAGTTAGACTAGGGTTTCCATTGGGAAATAAAATAATCGAATTTTTGTTTGTAAATAATAAAATCGATTATTAATTTAATTTTTTTTTTTACAATTTTTTTTAAATTTTTCGATTGTGGGTAAGCTTTTTTCTTTCATATAATAAATTTTTTTTATTTTTATAATTTAGGAGAATTATCTTCTGGCCTTTAAGGTTCAGAGTGTTCATTCAGAGATTCTTTTGGGTGGTTTCTTAGTTTCGTTCTCTTGGATAGGTAAGTCTTTTCTTTCGGAGATTCTTGGGGCGGTTTTTTTCTTTTTTATTAACTTAATTATTTCTTTTTTAATAGGACCAGATCTTTGAATAGGTAATTTTTCTTGGAGGGTTCTTTTTGGAGTAAATGAGGGGATTATTTCTTTTTTTAATAAGAATTACATGAATAGTTAATTTGTAATAATTATTTCACGAGGAATCATGATATTTCATAGTGACTTCGTGAATTAATTGTTTTATATCACGGTCCGTCATACAATTTTAAACTATAATAAGCTAAGCTTTTTAATCCATATTTTATTATTCAATTTTTATGTAACAGTTTCGTAATTGCGTAGTTTTAATTAATTAGGACTTAGAATTTTGCATTTACTTCGTTTAATATATTGATATAGCAAAAGTGTAGAGCGCCGACGTTGAGGCAACACTGATTAATTTGATAATATTAAACTATCCGGTATCCCGTGATTTTTTATAATTAATAATGACTATAATAAATCGGTTATCAGGCAAAAAATCATTATCAGGCATTAATAATTTTTATTAAGCATTATTTGTATTAATAAAATTAC